ACTGCCTAATTAAAAAACAAACAAACAAAAAACACTCACACAAAACACAACTCATTAAAACTATATATATTTAAAGTGTGAAGGTACAGCCCCAACACGACACTTCTGTTCTGTTGTAAGCCACTGCTCTACACCAGATCCTGTACCATCATCTTCCTTTCGTCCTCACTGGGATCCAGCGGTCTCTTCCTGGCCTTTTCAGCTGGCCCTCTGATAATGAAGAGCTGGGTCCTTCCTCCTACAGTGCCATGTATGTCCCAGCTGATGCCTCCTGGGATATCTGATATGTCCCAGGAGGCTGCAGGAGCAGACTGATGTTAAAGGTGCCTAGGCAAGAATGGAAGCAAGGGACAGAGTCAACTTTTTTAAGATTAAAAAAGGATTACTGTGATGTAGAAGAGTCATGTCAGCATGAAAGTCTACATTAAAATGTAAGTTAACCCTCCTATACATATCCATTTCCTGTGAATAGTTCATACCACGGTTTCCCGTTTCCAATGGTCTAAATCCTCTAGGGGTCTAGGGACCTCTCCACATAAAATGCTGGCCACTTGGATCCCCATCTATCCTGCTGTCTTCAGGACAATCTGGACACTTAAATAGCACGCTCCCTTGTGGCCAAACAGGGTCTTACAAACCGTGTGCATGCGCTCTCCCCTGCTCCAGTCGAACTCAGTAGCAACAGTTCTGGGCTGTTTAAACTGTGTGGATGGCATTGCACTCTATCCCCCTCTAGCTGAGCTCCAAATATTCAGGGGTCAGAGGCAGACATGAACCAGAAGTGACGTACGCGGAAGTGCGCTCTGTGGTTGTTTACTCCATATGTGATTTTAATGGCGTTTTTACAAGTTTAAACATGTAAGTTCAATAGTTTTAATAAAATTCCTTTATTGGAACATACTGCACTATTGGAGATCCCTCTGTTTCCCCTACATGAGTGAAGGAAATTTGATCCCAAGCAACCCTTAAAGGGACAGATCTTGTAATTGGGCTCAGAGACCGGAAGGAAGGAGGGCCCCCAGTGATCACAAAGTGGTGCACAACCTGAATGTATGCAACACTTCAAGAGACAGAGATGGTTTTGTGAGCACGTGAGAAATTCTATGGAATCTTGAAGGATATTTGATGGAAAACCTCATTCATGTTCACAGCTATAACTCAAATTGCACGGACTTATTTGTACGGACATTGTGTTTAACATATATATATATACACACCACGTTGAATGCACTGTATTATGCGCACTTGATTATTTGATTAATTTTCTTATTTATTGTTTTCAATATTTGATTACTTGTTATTCACATTTCACATCTACCTCTACATTTTATATGGACAATTCCCCCTTCCTCCGTCCCTTATTTCCATTTCTTATCTCTCACTAGGTCTCTTGCCGTATGTACTCCACCACTGGGATTTGTAACACAACCCCCATTTTGGAAATCTATGCTACACCGCTAATGTAAGAGCCTCCTTCACAACCATATTACAATGTGATGGTGACAAATTAAAGAGGAATGTGAGATGCTAACACAATAAATATTATACTTTCATCACAATTCAACCCATAAATTAGAGTCCATAAATATCTGATATATTCCAACAAAGTCCATCCAAATGCACTATGTACACCACATTGTGTGCATATAAACCTTCTGTGTCTTGAAAAATCTTCCAATGGTGCCACCACAAATCCCCACCTCTGTGAGAAGTGCGCACGCACCAGAAATCCTGATCTTCAGTCCAGGGACACCACAACATCGAGCCAAAAAAATACCATTGTGTAGTATTTTATTAAAAAGATACACAAGGTAACAAATAATGCACTCACTTGTATTTGTGCCCACACCCAGCATTAATGTATACAGCCTTTTGTGTTTATTTACCGTTGTAACACTGCAAAAACAGGAGTGTGTTCCATCAACAGGAAGTTCAGGCCGGACATGACATCAGCCGCGGGGCTATTGTATTTTTTTGGCTTGATGTTCTGGTGTCTATGGACTGATGATTGAAGATATATGGAGAGTGTGGAAGATCTGCTGGAAAGTGGTGTGACCAGTCTGGAGGATACTTCTTATCCAAAAAGCACCTTTAGTGAAATAAGGTCACAGGATTGCTGGTGAGTGTGCACTTCTCACACAGGTGGGGACACCATTGGGAAGATTTTTCCTCAAGCTTCCCCTGAGGAAGCCACGAGACCTGTGGCATAACGCGTAGGGGAGGGACAAGCTGACGTCACAACGCTTGCAAGATCAATGGACGGGTAATGATAGGAGAGCCTGTGATTACTAGTTTATGCTGTACATATCTGGTGCGATCAAGCACCATGAAAATGTGAGTGATAAAACACTATCCCTGCATATTCTGTTTTTTTTTACGGAGAAATTAAAAGAGGCGGCGGAATGATAGAAGCACTAGAGATTGCTGTGAGAAGAAGGAGATCCATCTGGGAGACATCATTCTATTAGTCCCACTAGGACGACACAAGCACTTTATGACCAAACATTATATAAAATGTGAGGTCAAAAAGCTCCAGGTGAGAGCACATCTTGGTTGAAGGGTGAGGGAGCACAATAAATGAATATGAAGAGTTTGGTTGAATAGAATTGTGAATTGCTGTAAAATTGGAAGATCATCAAGAAATACACATTATATTTGGGACTTTTTTTTGCACACGTTATAATATATTGATTTAAGTATTGTCACAAGGGGTATTGTAGTAATTGGGAGGCGCTATACTATTTATTACATAGAGAACAGGGGTGGACATTTGGAAACTTGGGCACTGCCCGAGGGACCGGGGTCAATAGGGGGCCCCATGAGATGCCCCTGGTACCTTTTTCATAGGCTTTTTTGAGTTTGGGCAAGGACACAGGGGCCCCATGATCCCCTATTGCCCGGGGGCCCCATGAGTTGTCAGTTCACCCCTGAAAGAGAACAACTGATTTTGTTGTGCCCTTGCAGAACACGTGCAGAAAAACTGATGTCTCTGCACCATGGTGTGAACGAGGCCTTAGACTTGCCTTTATATTCATCTGGTCATCCAGCCAGTAAGTCCGTTGTTTTCCAAAAGAATAAGCTCTCTTCTAAAGAAATCTGTTTGGAGGAATGAGTCAAAACCATTTAACACTGGCAAGGGTGCTTACAATGACCAGTTTTTATTTATTCATGTAAAACCTTTATCCTAAAAAAACAAAAAAAAAAAAATGTTTGCTATAACCGCTAATAAAGTGTGAGCTTGAGTTCGGCTTCAATTAGTGTGTCTAACACTCCCATCCCCCCAGGCTGACAATGCTGCTGTCTAAAGTTGCCCCTGTGCGCACTCATCCAGTGGGGGCACTCTAATGCAGGTGGTGCGTTACTGGCCAGACCACCAGGTGAAAACAGAGGGAAAAAAACCTAAAAAAAAGAAATGTTTGGTATTCTGTAAAATATTACATTTTTGGTTTTAGGTTCAATACCGCTTTAATATCTTCCCTTCCCCCCCACCTTTTTCCTACATTGGAAACAGATCCATTTGAGTTTTTCGCCAGGCATTGATAGCTTCACGCTATTCTTCTCCTCTGTCAATGTAAGCTATTACATATTCTGTTTGTACCTTTGGAATGTTTTCAATGTTCCATCTTTTTCTAAAAGAAAAAGAAATGGTAGAACACAGGACAGGAATGGCAGAAGCCACATTTTCACATGTTCTGTGCAGTAATAGTCTCAGCCCCTTATGCAAATACAGAAGTATAATGACACACTTAGATGTGGAAAGCCTATGACATTTGAGCAGTCCAGATGGCAGAGTTACATTACATTACATTGAGTTTATATAGCGCCAAAGGGTTTGCTCAGCGCTGTACAATAGAGTTAAAGCTCAAAAGGTCATAGAGAATTCCAGGTACCGCACATAACTTGGGAATCCTTAGAAAAGTGTGCATGTATGCACTTGCAGTTTCACAGTATTCGTATAGTTAAAAAAATAAAAAAAAAACCTTTAGTTCTGCTTTGCTTGCTGTAGGTAGATGCATAATTTAACCACCTGCCCTCCACCCTATAGCAGAAGTACAGCTACAGGGCGGCAAGGCTGCGCAAAATCATGTACATAAACGTGATTGGCATTTCCAGGTAGGGGGCACAATGCATGCGCCCTACCCGTGCAGCTACTGGCTGATCGGAATGTCAATCACTGGGTACCAGCCAGGACTCGGTGATCATTGGTAGGGCTGAGAGAGGAGAGATGTGTGCAAACACAGATCATTTGCCTGTCAGCATGGACATGCTGCTTTGTATCTCTCTGCACAACAGAGAAATAAAAAGCAGCATGTCTCCCTACAAAAACACAACAGCACACAATGTGAAATACACACAGCACAGTTAACCCTTTGATTGCCCCAGATTTTAACCCCTTCCTACCCAGTGTCATTAGTACAGTGTCACTGCTTTTATTAGAACTGATCACTATAATAGTGTCACTTGGGATGTCAGTGGCTGTAAGTTCCCAATCAGTGTCAGAATGCCCACCGCAGTCCCTGATTAGTATAAAAAAAATAAAAATACAAAAATTCCAGTATATACACACCTCCATTTGTAGATGCTATACCATTCACATGAACCAATTAATATACACTTATTGGGGTTTTTTTTTTTATAGCAAAGACATATAGCAGAATACATTTTGGTCTAAGTTTATGAAGAAATTTGATTTTTTTTATTGGATAGGTTTTATAGCAAAATTTTTTCAAAATTGTCAGTCTTTTTTTGTTTATAGTGCAATAAAAAAAATAAAAAAATGCAGAGGTGATCAAATACCACTGAAAGAAAGCTATATTTGTGGGAAAAAAAGTTACTTAAAATGTTGTTTATGTACATCGTTGCATGACCGCACAATTGTCAAAGTAACGTAGCGCCATACCGCAAAAAAATGGCCTGGTCAGGAAGAGGGGTAAATCCTCTGTAGGGCAAAACGCCACATCTGCACATATACATCATACAGACCAGCCACCTTCCAATACCTTGTAAACTCTGCGCCAATTCTTCTTGTTGTCTTTCAGCATCCTTGTCCACAACATGTTCATCAGCTCCGGGAATTGCTCGTACATGAACGTTGCCCTGGAAGGAAAATCAAAAGCTAGAATTCTGCTGCATTTATCCACACAACCTCTAGATGGAGGCAGAGAACTTATAGAAGAGCTGCATACTTCCTCAATCATGAAACAATCTAATGTCTCAGATTTTTTTTTTTTTTTTTACAAGTTGTATTTATGTTACATATGCAGTACACTCTGTGTTTACAATCCGCTAAGGGCCTTAACAGGGCACAAGCAGCGGTCAGTCATGTGACCTGTAAAACGAGAAAAAAGCCAGCACATTCCATGGACAGGCAATAATTGTCACGTACGTAAAGCTAAATACCAGGCATATATAAAGGCACACATTACTGCAGCTCTTTAATCATCACATCAAAACTTTTTTTTTTTTTTTATTATAAATGCATGTAATGCAAATACGTCACTTTCACTTGGTATTAGCCTCTTGTAGTCCCTGTACAGCAGAGTTAAGAGATGGAGAAGCAACACAAGGTGTACTGCAGTGCAAGAGGCATGCTGACAGGGGGGATAGGGCAAAGTGACAGTTGTGCTCTGCGTGGTGCTTCTCCTTTCACAGTCATGTGTCACAGCTCTGTCCATGCATCAGCAACTGGGGGGTTAAACTTGAAGAAAAAAGCCTAGCTGTTGATTTAGACAAGGAGAGGAGAGGAATACAAAGCTATCACTAAACATACATGCTTAGAGAATGGAAAACTTGCCTTTAACCACTTAAGGACGCAGTCTATTCTGACACTTTTTGGCTACAAGTAAAAATCAGCATTTTCTTGCTAGAAAACTTACTGAGAACCCCCAAATACTTTATATTCTTTTTAGCAGAGGCCCTAGAAAATAAAATGGTGGTTTTGCAATTTTTGATGTCACACAGTATATGTGCGGCAGTTTTTCAATAGCAATTTTCTGGGAAAAAATACACTTTAATGAATTTTAATGCAAAGGAAACCCCAACATATAACCCAACTTTTTGTAAAATATAAAAGATGTTACGCCGCATAAATAGATACTCATCATGTCAAGCTTTAGAATTGCACACACTCTTGTGGAAAGGCAACAAATTATGATACTTAAAAATGTATACAGTTTACCAGTTGAGAGTTACAGAGGTCTAGTGCTAGAATTATTGCTCTCGCTATAACGTTTGCGGCAATACATCACATGCGTGGTGTGAACACACATTTTACATATGTGGGCATGACTTATTTATTCTATTAAACAGTTTTCATATTTACACTTTCCAGTAATTTTTTTTTATCACTTTTTATTGATATAAGAAATGTACACATCTCCTGTAACAAAATATACCATAAACTATATATATATATATATATATATATATAAATATACCATAGACTATTTGATCTCTGATCGTCTCTATGGCCAGCTACTGCAACTGCCATATCGAATCCCAGGCTCCACGGTGAGGCGGGTATGCCCCGAGAACAAATGGAGAGCAGCAGTGGGTGAACCCTCCCACTGCCTCTAAAATCAATCGAGCAGCTAATCAGCCGCTCAGATTGCTTTTAGCTGAAAGAGCATAGACTGCAGAAAATTTTAATACCAGAGTTATGGCTAACAGCTGCAGCCAAGGCCCCGGCAAACTGCTTCAAAGCCGTATATATATATATATATATATATATATATATATATATATATATACACATATACATACATATATATATATATACACACATACATATATACATATATATACACACACACACACACACACACACACACATATATATACATACACAAATATATATATACATACATACACACACATATACATACATATACATACATATACACACACATACACATACATATACACACACACACACATACATACATAATCTATCTATATATACATACATACATACACACGTATTCTGGTCTTCAAGTGCTTTAGAATCCATTCTGTAGAATGCCCACTGGAATATATTTACACCAGTAAATTCTTTATATTCTATAACCATTCATTTAGGCTTCATTCACATGGCTGTAAAATTACACATATACAAATGTTTTTTAATTATGGATCTGAACACAGTTACATTGTTTTCAATGGAACCATTTACACGGGTGCATAAACAAGAATCTGCATCTATGAACATGCGATTTGCGTGCTTACACATATAAACGCAGATATGAGCATTTGTGCACATGTAAATCAAGTCTAAACAAAGAGGAAAATAAATTATCGTAAAAAAAAAAAAAAAAAAAGATATGTATGCATCTTTACGTGTTTAAAACGCTTCCATACGCCAGTAGTTTACTGACCATTACGCAGGAGCTTTTCTCCTAGAAAGCATGTGTTCTAGCATCAGTATAATTTTTACGGACCTGTGAATGAAGCCTTATAGTTTTAATATAAAACTACACAGAAATTCTGGTTGACATACAGATTTGAGTTTTTTCCAAAGCTCAGGAAAACTGGATGGCGACATCTGTTTGATTGATCTCATTTTTACTCACTTATGTAAGCTGAATAACAATTTCTCTCTGTGCTATTGAAGGTGTTCTCAAATTTATTTTACATCTAATTATTGAAACAAAATCTGACATTTCTGGTTCAGGTGTACTTTTTCTCAACTCTGTGCATGCACACTATTGCTGACTGATAACATCTAAATGCTACACCAGTCCACTAGTTATAACTAGCTCTGGCATACCTATAGAAAATAGAGGTGACTGTGAAATTATATTAATATCTGGTATAACAGCTAGGGCTAAAACAAAAAACTCTGACCCAAGTTTACACTCATAAAAGGGATCATGAGTGTTGTCCAGGCAGGACAAAGCAACACTGTCACTTTAACCCTCACCTTCCCACCATTCCAACATTTGCTTGCTCCCCACAGCTCTATTTGGCTGCTAGAAGCGAGAGAAGCCACCCTGTCCCACTCAAAAGCTTGCACAGGTCTGTGGACTCTCCCCAGCACTGATGCTTGATGATTTATTTATTACAGGTACTTATATAGCACTGTCAATTTATACAGTGCTTTACATATACAGTGAAGGAAATAAGTATTTGATCCCCTGCTGATTTTGAATGTTTGCCCACTCACAAAGAAATGATCAGTCTAAAAATCAAATGGCAGGTGTATTGTAACACTGAGACAAAAAAGCAACCCAAAATTCAAAAGAAATGCATGTCTAACAAATTATGCACTGATTTGCATGTTCATGAGGGAAATAAGTATTTGATCCCCTATCATTCAGCAGGATTTCTGACTACCAGGTGTCTTTCATACAGGTAACACGCTGAGATTAGAAGCAGTCTCTTAAAAGGAGTGCTGCTAATCTCATTTTGTTACCTGTATAAAAGACACCTGTCCACAGGAGCAATCAAACAATCAGATTTCAAACTCTCCACCATGGCAGAACCAAAGAGCTGTCCAAGGTTGTCAGGGACAAGATTGTAGACCTACACAAGGCTGGACTGGGCTACAAAACTATCGCCAAGCAGCTTGGTGAGAAGGTGACAACAGTTGGTGCAATCATTCGCAAATGGAAGAAACACAAAACAACTGTCAGTCTCCCTAGGTCTGGTGCACCATGCAAGATCTCACCTCGTGGAGTGTCAATGATCATGAAAACAGTGAGGAATCTTCCCAGAACTACATGTGAAGATCTTGTCAATGATCTCCAGGCAGCTGGGACCACAGTCACCAAGAAAACAATTGGTAACACACTACACTGACAAGGACTGAAATCCTGCAGTGCCCGCAAGGTCCCTTTGCTCAAGAAAGCACATGTCCAGGCCCATCTGAAGTTTGCCACTGAACATCTGAATGATGCAGAGGACGACTAGTTGAAAGTGTTGTGGTCAGATGAGACCAAAATCGAGCTCTTTGGCATCAACTCAACTACACCTACCATTGGATTTTTAGACTGATCATTTCTTTGTAAGTGGGCAAACATTCAAAATCAGCAGGGGATCAAATACTTATTTCCTTCACTGTATATTGTACATTCACATCAGTCCCTGCCCTCAAAGAGCTTACAATCTAAGGTCCCTGGCTCACATTCATACACACAGTGAGAAAAATAATTATTTGTTCTCCTGCAGATTTTGTAAGTTTGCCAACTTACAGAGAAATGAAGGGTCTATAGTTTTTACCATAGGTGTATTTTAAATGACAGACAGAATATAAACCAAAAATCCAGGAAAAACACGATACAAAATGTTATAAATTGAGCTGCAGTTCAGTGAGTAAAAAAAGTATTTGATCCCTTACCAACAATAATTCTGGCTCCCACAGACTGGCTATGTGCTCATGTGGTACACAGATTAGTCCTGTCAATTTAAGAAGGTGCTCTGAATGACAACTAGTTATGTGTATAAAAGACGCATGTCCAGAGAATCTTTTTCTTTCATTCAAACCTCATCACCACCATGGGCAAGACCAAAGAGCGGTCAAAGGACATCAGGGACAAGATTGTAGACCTGCACAAGGCTGAAACTGGCTACAAGACCATCAGCAAGAGGATTGGTGAGAAAGACAGCAGTAGGAGAGATTATTCGCAAATAGAAGAAATACAAAAAAAACATCAATTGCCCTCGGTCTGGAGCTCCATGCAGGATTTCACCTCATGGGGTAAGGATGATCATGAGAAAAGTGAGGGATCAGCCCAGAACTACACAGGAGGAGCTTGTGAATGATCTCGTGGCAGCTGCGACCACAGTCACCAAACAAACCATTTGCAACACAATAGGCCACCATGGATTGAAATGCTGCAGCGCCCACAAGGTCCCCCTCTTCAACAAGGCAAATGTAAAGGCCCATCTGAAGTTTGCCAATGAACATCTAAATGATTCAGAGAAGGATTGGGAGAAAGCGCAGTGATCAGATGAGATCAAAATTGAGCTCTCTGGCATTAACGTGACTCGCCGTGTTTGGAGGAAGAACAATGCTCACTATGACCCTAAGAACACCATCCCTACAGTTCAGCACAGAGGTGGACACATTATGCTTTTTGGCTGTTTCTCTGCTAAAGGTA